AGAATTAAAAGAAGATATTTTGCAAAAAAATAAAGGCTAAACAAACAAATATGAAAAGAGATATAATTGAAATATTGAGAGGTCCATTTTCCCTGGGACACCCGATAGAATTTTTACAGAGTCTGCAACATACATCATTCAAAAGCCGATACCCTCAGTTTGCAATACGTTCACCAAATCTTCTGATTTCTGGAGTTGATTTATAAGATTTCCTTCCGACTTCAAACTTTCACTTTAAGTTTTAGATACATTGTGAGTCAATAACAAAATCAAGAAGTGAACTGATTTATTCCAGTGTTTAATGAATATAGTTTTTGTGGAGATGTTGTCAATCCCATGGAATTTTTGTTAGATAACAATTGAAACAGAATTTGAAGTAAAACTGAACACTAATTCTATTGTGAACAATTTTGTAACTATTTTCTAAATAGCTTATATCGCTTTGAATAAAGTCCTTTTCTCAAAATAATACAGGCATGTTCCAAAAGTGCTACAAATCGCACGATAAATAACTTACATTTCATATATACTTATTTTTTTTAGTTCATATTGAGTTCTCAATCCACTTTTCTTTTGTTTTTTTTTGTTTAGATATGCTTCTATAAACTACTGTGAGATGATTGATGATAGAAGATTTCATGATTATATTCGTTCTTCATTTTATATAGTTTGTAAGACGATATATTTACTACCAAGCTAATATGACGAAGAGAAAAGCGCTCATTGGAATGGAAGATTTATTGTTCTTTGAGAAAAATTGTTAGGTGTTCCTTTAAGATTCAAATAAAAATTTAACCTTATCTAGTTTTTCATGTCGAGAGCTATTACCAAGATTCATACGTCAAAACAATCAGCGTTGAACGAAGATTAAAAGCATGGCTTGCTTTTTTCGAAAATCGTTTTCGTTGCCAAAAATATTTGCACATCTTTGAAAATTAGAGCTTTTGACGCAAAATAGACCTAGTACTTTGTGAATTAATCAGTCGTATTTTTCCATAGAGATCGGAAACTTTTAATTCCTAGTTTAAAAATAGGGTGTGGGTGTGGATGTGGATAAATAGAAGAACCACATCCACCCTCTTCATCAATATTAATACGAATAACACTCACAAATGATTAAAAATAAAAAAGAGAATGATTATTAGTACGTAAAAATCCTAGAATTGACATGATTTCTTTGTTGATCTCAATCCTATACTGTTGTCATTAAACTATCATCTGTCTCAGCTTTTACATGAGTCCAGCATAAATCTTGCCAACATTCGTAAGTCCACTAAGATCATCTGTAACCATGGCACCATTTGTAATACCAGCCATATTAGCAGAATTCATTGGTCCAAACATTGCATATCTCACTACATAATTTTGTGCATCAAGCCATTGCAAAGCTTGTTTTTCAAGATAGGCTGTTGCTGTACTTGAAACACCAGTAAATTGCCATTCAGTAATCCATAAAGAATAAGTTGGAAAAAGTGAATGGAAGTTGGTAACGTACGTTTGAAAATCCGATAATGAACTACCATACCAATGAAGTGGAATAAAATCAAATGAACAGGAAGGAGATGTACAGTTACCGAAAAACTGATGAAGCCAATCAGTTCCCCATCCGGAACCAACTCCATTCGTAACAGCTGGTGCTCCCAATGCCGTTCCACACGATGCTTTCACAGGTTGAATGTACTGTTTCCAAAGAATGGAGGCATTGTAAGGTGAAATATAGTCGCCACCATTAGCTGCTGGTAAATCTGGTTCATTAAATCCTAGAAGATGTGTGGCATAACAACTGGAGAAATATGCTGGAACTTGAGATGCTTCTGTCTGTGTTCTACACATTGGTACATATTCAGCTATTGAATAAGTGCCCGTCGCTCGTGAATCCCACAGTTCCCAATTATACAACCATGGTATAGCACTGGGTGAGAAGAATGCAAATGACGATGCAGGATTATTCCATGGCCAACAGAGGCCACGTTTTGTACTGTTTGTAGCTGGCAGAGTTGGAATAGTAGTATAGACAACTGATATAGCATTTGCTCCTCCACAAATTTCTGTTGAATTACCAGCACAAGCCATTGTACAGGCAGTTGATACAGTTGTAGGTGCTGTTATTGAGCAATAACATTCATTAGCATATTCAGTTCCAGAGTATGGAATGCCCAGAGATGTACAGTATGCTGCACATGTTGAAGGAGTGTTGGAAGTTGAAGTCCTTGAAGCATTAGACATTGCTCGTGAAGTGGGATAGAAATCAGCATAGCAGCCAACAACACTTGAGCTTGATGTAACCGACGAGGTAGTACTGGATGATGTTATTGTTGTCGATGTGACAGCCTTAATGGATGAAGTCAATGTTGATGAAATTGGTTTTGTAGTAGAACTAGTGGATGATGACAAAGTGCTGGTTGTTGTTTTCAAGGACGTAGTTAACTTCACTATGGTGGTAGACATTGCCTTCGAAGTGGTAGTGACCTTAACCGTTGCGCTCTCGATATGAGAGACACTGTTCATCATACATCCAATAATGACAAATGAAACGAGAGTGAACCACAACATTGATTGACTAATCTATTTTAAGTAAAAAAAAGTGAATTTGAGTATGTCAAGAAATGAAGCTTACAGAAAAGTATTAGGGTGTGGGTGGGTGTTATGGTTGTGCGATAACATGCTGTCGCAAATACTCACACCCATAATATTGGCAAAAAACATGCAAATTAATTATGTAATATAGATATAGACATCATCAATGAATTATGGTTAATTAAAATAATAGATAAAAGTGTGATAGAGATAGCAGAATATATCGAGATGACATTTATCAATCGATCTTCCAAAAGAAAAGTCAATCATTGTGATGGATTTTATATATATCTCAATCGTGTCTAATGTGCAGATCATATTGGCACTATTCTTGTGTTATTTATTTTTGGCATTATTCTAATAAGTTACTCACCACAACGAAATGAAAAAAATCCACTATATGGAGAAAATTTCGAGTCAAGGACCTGTTGATTAACCTTGATGTTGTGTATGTAATAATGTTTGCTTGTTTTGTCGATTAATTCGTATTTTCACCTTTGCAACAATGTAACTGTATTCATTTCTTACCGTTTGTTATTTTGCATAGGTTTTTTTTCTTTTTTCATACTGCATATTCGATCACAAACGACTCTATACAAGATGCGTACAAAAAATTGTACAGAACGAAATATGTGTACGAAGTGATATTCTTGAGTGATTTGCACACAATGAATCTTGTAGACGGAGTCAAAACAAACATATTTATACTTGAAAAGGTATTGCAAAGCAAGAGGAAGTAGGAAAAATTAAAAATTATTTTTTTATTTTGAAATCTATAGTAAGTCATGCAGTGTGGGAAAAATAAACTGTATGGCAGCCGGTTTTTACACACAACATTAAGATTTTAATAACGGAGAATAAGTTAATGCGAAGACTTTATCGATCGCACGACTCAATGACTCATAAACTCACTAAAAGACAACTAAATGTTTTCTTTTGAGCTATCTGACTACTAATTTTCCACAATTTTATTGTGAAAATTTTAGCTTGAGAAAATATCTGAGAGAAAAATCCGATTTTTTTAAGTGCTCGTGTTTTCCTAATTCATTGTACGGACACTATAAGAAGCACAAGACATCTCAGAAAATCGTGAATTTTAATGAAAAATTTGATTGTTTTGAATAATTGGTAACTGACAGAACACGGCACTTTAATCATTCTTTAAACAAATGCACAGAATATTATAAGTACAGTGTCAACGAGTAACTTGCAATATATTCTTCTTTTTTGAATATTGATGAGAGAAGAGTCGTCAATTAAGATATTTTCTATTGTTACAGAAAACTTCGAAAATTTTTAACTTCTACATTATTTAGAAACTTCTGCTTATTTTAAAGAATGTACCTTCAATTGGAGATGGAGAATGCTAAATAGACGATCAATATAGCAGTGTTCTTTGTTAGAGTAAGACGAAAAAATTGAGGAGATGACAAAACATAGAGTCGCGACTAAAAGGTGATATTTATCTCTCTCCATTACTTGCCTAACGCAACGAAAATTGGTCGTTGTCGATAAGAAGACAGAAAATGACGGAAAGTTTTTGTAATGAGATGAAAAAAATCGTTCTAGACTTTTTCTTTCTACTTTTACTTCTGTAGGAAAGAAACTCGATTCTTTTTTTTTTTAACCGGAGATAAGAGTTGTTTGACACGTGGATGATCTCTGTGTGTATTGATACTATGACGAGAGAATTTGTGTAGACAAACTGTCAAATATTCTCTGCTAAATGCAAGCAAATCATCTACACATTGCAGTTGATTAGGAAGACGTGACAAAGGCAAGTTTCGATGAATGAAGATTAAATGGTATTTCTCCTCTTATTCATGATCAATTCACAACTATTGGTATAGTCGGATGAAATTTGATATGATCCGTTGTTCGGTAATGAAGTTTTCATACATCGTATGTAACATCTTACTGAAGAAAGTAATGCTAATTTTTTTTTCGGATAAATTGTCTTAGAGAGAAAATTTTCTTGTAAATCAATAAACCATAAGCTCTTCTTTCAGAATCCGATTGATTTATTCACAAATTCTTTTTATATTTGGTAAAAAAAATCGCAAGTTTTTTTCCTACATTCGAAAAACCGAAACAAACTCTTTCGCTTCATTGAATTGACCATGTACCAAACTATATTCAACATTCTTCAAATCATCAAAAAAAAACTCACTTTCATTGCTTCACCTGGTATCCACTTGATTATTCATTGTGTCGTAGACATCATCGAAACTGTATACATGGTTATGACGGTGTGAGTGTGAGTACTGGTGGATGTGGATGCGGATGTGAGTGTTAGTGGTATCATTTTACATACACTAACACCCATACCTACACTCACACTCTCAATGAACATAAGTGACCGTTGGTCACTCAACATTTTCCATAAAAGATAAACTTTTCGTCAACCTATAATATAAACAAAGAACCGTCATGAATGCTGCGTGTAATATCATGAAATTATGTTGCTAGAGCCGCTGAGCTAATTGTTACAAACCCAACACGTTTTCAAAAATCTCTCAAAGGTTCATCGTGCTCTACAAACGCCAACTTAAGAATCAATTATGTTCGACTTAAAGACCCGATCAGCCTTAAAAGCTAGAAAAACCATTGACGACTACAGTAGTGCAAACGCGCATCTTCTCAACAGCCATAGACACAACACGTTGATGAGCCCTCAGTTATTCGGCACACAATCCTTTGTGGTTCGCCACCATGAAATTATCAATACCATGCGGACATAGCTCCTTCAGAGATATGCGGATCACTCTTCGAAAGATACTAACGAGTTTACGGGATCATCTTAGAAAGCCTTGGCAGCAACACAAGGACAACCTAGAAGATAGACTCAAAACAATTATCGAGACCACCTTGTAACAGACCTTGAATAAATATTAGCACTACTCCGGCGAAAGACTTTTATTAGATTCTGGGATCACTATCAAAAAGCCTTCGCACAAATATAGAAGCCACCCTATACTTTCCTATAAGAATAACCGAGATCAGGTATAGATAACCTATGAAGGGATATGAGTACTCCAGTTATATAGCCCATGATGACTTATGGGTACTTCCATTATATAGCCTATGAAGGGTTATGGATACCCCTTCGATAGTCCATGAAAAGTTTAAGTGAAGTTAAAGCGATATACGTAACAGTAATGGAACTAATAATGATACTAGAAGAATAAATAAGTTCGATATCATAATATTTATTCACATATAAATGTCATTACATTCGAATGATTTCAGGACTTTTGAATAAAAGTATGGATTATCGAAATCACTTCAAGTGAGTTGACGGAATAGGCAGTATATGTGGTATTCGCTTCGACTGGATATCCAGTCTGATCGTAGTGGGGCATCTCTATATGTAATTTCATGTGATTCGATTTGATTTCAATTTTTGGAATCAGTTTGTTCCCCGTTGCAAAAGAAAGATAGCGTGCGTAAATGCGAGCACCTGCAACAACTATCATATAAAGTTTACGCTTTTGGGGAGCTCTTATATATTTTCGAAGAAAATAATGAGTGTAAATTTTAAGTTCAAGTTTTTGCGGCACCCCCTCCTCCCTCCCTCCCTTACAGACACATATCATAACAAGAATATTAAATTAAGAAAAACGATTTTAAAAAATGAAAGATAACGAGCGAATAGCAACAATACAAAATACTTATTTACGTATTACAATAGGTGAACGAGAAGGACAATCACTCGATCATGCATATGTTATTGAAATTTGACCACCGGGATACTACAGTCTTGTACATAATCATAGTAATGCTTATGGAATTATTCGAGTACTTTATGGTCGTATTTTAGTCAAGCTTTATCCGGATCTAACACTAAATGTTCGTGAAGTTGCACCAATTGAACAAATTCTTGAAGAAGGTCAAGTAACATGGATGTTACCTAGACTTAATCAAACACATCAAGTTAGAAATCCAGATTTGTATGGTACATGTTGCATTACACTTCAATGCTATCAATATGGATCAGAAGATTGACAACATTATGAATATTTCGATTATCTTACTAATGATGGACACAGTATTGGTCATTTCGATCCCAAATCAGACATAGATTACGCTGAATTCAAGCAGAGAATGCGACAAGAATGGCAATCATCATCATAATAACTTTTTATCAAATTAAACAAACTTTTTTCGTTTTGTATTACTTTTCTTCTTTTCTATATTCTAGAAAGATGCATTTCATTCGTTAAAATTATGACTATGCAACAAGACAGAATGTATCTATTCGATCAGTTATTTGAGGAAAAAATTTCTTCTTAATTGAGTCAATCCAATCGACTAAATAATTATCCAATAATTGATCGTATCATAATAAAAATGTATATTTATAGTTAATTTTGTATTTTCATAATGCATGTCTAATTTTATTAAAAATAAGTAAAAATTATTGAGAAAGATTAAAAATTACACTTGATTGATATTTACATATTTATTGTTCAATTCACACCACATTAAGTTCTGTATTTGATGAAAGATTTCTGGAGCACTAAGGCATCGATTTACAGGAAATTTATGTATATAATGTTGGCAGCTGTTGCAATTTATTTTTTGAAACGCCACTATGGATTTCAGTGTGTATTTTTGATATGAAATATTAAGACTGAGAATGAAGATAAAGTGAGTGCTTGTTCAAAGGTGAAAGTGAAAACAAAACTAAAGAAAAAAAGAAACGAGGGTGCGAGATGGCTCTTCTTTACCATGACTTTTACTTTTACAGCTAAAAGATATTATATACTACGAAAGATAAATTAAATAAATCTAAAAAAAATCCTTTAGTACTCAACAACTTCAATGTTTGAAGGCTTTGTTCGACCTGACGTAAGCCATGATCTTCAAAACATTTAATTTATTTTTGATGAATTTTTTTTCTATTAAATTAAAATCCAATTGCAATTTAAATCTAAAACATAGTGCTTCAGAAATCTTTCATCAAATACAGAATTTGATGTGATGTGGATTGAACAATAAATATGTAAATATCAATCAAATGTGATTTTTAATCTTTCTCAATAATTTTTACTTATTTTTAATAAAATTATACGTGCGTTATGAAAATACAAAATTAACCATAAATATACATTTTTATTATGATGTCATCGATTATTAAATAATTATTTAGTATTTAGTTGATCTGAAATAACTTAGATAAGAATGTTCGTCGAAGTTACTTTAATTCAACTAAATAAAAAATAATTATCAAGTAATTGATGATATGATGAATGTTTTATATATTTACAGTCAATTTTTCCAAATATATAGACGAAATTATTAAGAAAGCTTAATGTTTTTTTTTGTTAAAAACTTTATATAATTATCAATTTATATTGACGATACTAATGCTTGTAACTAAATTAAAGAGATCTGTAGAATACTATACTCTGAGTTAAACTACATTTTAACTTTATATTAATAAGAAACAATATTACATATAAATATCAGTTAAATGCTCACCAGAGTCAGATTCACACTGACGTATATTGCGGTATTTACTCAGAATGAAGTGTATTCAGACAGTTATCTTTCATGTTATTAAACCGAAAACATACATATCGTGATTATCAAAAAAACAACCATAATCCTTTCATTGATTTGCAAGAACACATACATCAATTAGACTCAGTTCTCGACTGTAGATTCGAAATTCATCAATGGCTCCAGTGAATTGTCCTGCAGAGATAGAACTTGTTTGGCAATTAGAACCCAACGATCCGTAATAGCCAAGTAAAACATAATCTGGAACCCCACTTGCAGAATAACTTGCAGCCCCCGTAGTTCCCACTTGAATTCCATTCACGTATAAAATAAGCCCATTGGTCGTACTGTAAGTTTCAACAATATGTGTCCACACATTCAACGGAAGTGTGGATCCGACTATAGGGATTGCAGATCCATTCCATAATTGAGCAACAAGTCTGTTTGAAGAATCTAATCCGATAAATGGTACACACCATAGAGAGACACCGTTAGTATAGCCGTTGGCCCCATTTGCTACATGAACAATCGTCCCAACGCCGGTGTATGCGGTTGGTTTGACCCAAAGTGAAAATGAAAAAGCTTTATTCGATGTGCCCAATGCAACCAGATCACCGACAGAAAAGTAGGTACTCGATGCACCGAATGTCAAAGCTTGATTGACATAACCACTGACAGTGGTCACACCAGATGTGATGATACCAGTGAAATAATTCGGGCCACTATCTTGTAGAGAACCAGAATCAAATGAAAAATAGGCAACTAGAGTTGCATCATCCAGGATTTCGCAAGCACTCTTAGCCCGATTGCTCACTCCAAAGAAAAGAATCAATAAACAAGAAAAAAATTCTCAACACGACATACCGAACATATGATCAATAAGTCCTTTGAATTGATTATTTGTTTGAAAAGCACCTATATATCGATACAGAAGTAAATTCAGAACAAAGATTTTTCTAACATTCTATTCCATACCTATATTGACCAGACCTGATGTGCCCACATAAGCAGCGGGTGTTCCAGTTAAATTTGCTTGTCCATCATTGTAACCATTGCGATAGATATTTTGTTGTTTACTGGAAAAATCATAGACAAATGCCACATGCAGCCAAGTGCCTGCGAGACTAGTTGGCAATGTTGTTCGACTCACGAGATCATCGACCCAAAATCCTTTTTCAAAGAAACAAACACGCAGCAGTATCAACACTTTCATATCAACTGATATTTACCCATATATATATTATATGGATTGAAATTTCTCAGAATTAAATGCATACAATTATCTTTTGTAGCACCGCTAAGATCACATTCCCCGAATACGGCATAATCCGGTCCATTTGTAACTAATGTCGCTGGTTGAATCCAGGCTTCGATGGTAAAACTTGAGTTAGCGAAATTGATAAATGGCGTCGTTACATATTGTGAGCCATTCAAACTCAATGCTTGGCCAACATAGCCTGTATTATACCCAGGACTGTTCACACCGGTGCCATTGTAGACCTAGACAGTCTCGGATGTATATGAATGGAAGATATGAATTCCTACATTAAGAATATCGTTCAAATTGTTTTCAAAAGTCCATACTGCTGTATAACTTGACAGAGCAGCTCGACTGGTAATATTACAGGTCGCATTGCAAGATGTTGGTAAATCTAAAATTATTCAATAGAAATCAAAAACAGAAAAATTTGTTTTCGATTTCTTTTCCATTGGAAGCTTCATGGGGATGCGATTACTTACAAGTAGTAGTGGAAACTGTAGTGCTGGTAGAAGTGGAAGCTGATGTAGTCGTCTGTTTATTGAAATAGAGTACAGCCAGGAGAACAGGTACTGTAATAGCAGTGATTAACAAGCAGCAAATCCCAATACCAAATGGGAACAACCAACCACGTCGGCATGAACGTCTTTCCAAAAGTCAATTCAGTTATATGAACGAAAAGCAAAACAAGAAATCATACTTTGATGGAATTTCTACTAAATCTTTCACATTAAAAGTTTTCACGGCAGATTGCGATTGTTTTGTTGATGTATACGATATGTCCGATCCAAAGCCTATCAGTGATGAATTATTCAGATTACGATAAGCTTTCGTTCGTTTAGTACCAACGAATTGAAGACGGGGTATATACATTCCTCCTTTTTGTGTATCGGTCGTCATTGTACAATCGATACTTGTTCTTCAGCGTGCGCCACTCTTAAATCAGCAAAGGCGATACTGCTTTGTAAAAACAATTATTAGTTGTTTCTGTTGTACAAAACAAACAAAACATTGAATGGTTCCCCATGCATCCTCTTGACGAATGCAGCATTTATACTTTTTTTAGATTTAATGCTTTTATAGATGTCCACGCAATGTTTTTTCTTTCTTGCTGAATTTATAGTTAAAAGTCGAATTGTTTGTTGACATGAGCATTTATGAGAAAAAAAAAGAGAGAAAAAGGACTTCAATCGTTCAAAAAACAGAAACTGCTACTCGTTATAATATTCATTTTATTTTGGCAAGTGAACACGATTGTTTTAGTTTAGTAGATAACAAGGAATCAGAAGAATAATGAACAAAATAAATAATAATAAATTTTTTGTGTTCTTGTATTTTTTTATTTTTTTTAACTATTTTGTATTATATTAATAATCAAGGAAAAAAAATAAATAATAAGAAAAGAAGAAGGAAAAATAACAAAATGAAGAGAAATAGTAAGAAGAATATTAATATATAAATAACGCTAGGCCTTTCGAATTGATTTCTTTATCAAGCCTGTAAAACGAATGAGAAATCTATGAATCGGATAGCATAGCGTTATATAGTTGATTGAAATAATCCGCTCATTATTCTATTAAAATAGACATAATTGATCATCATTTCATTAAAGAAAACATAATTTGTCATCCTATAATTAATAGAAACAATATATATTGTAGTGCTTTCTTTGTACTTATTTCCAAACTTATAGCAGGGTGTGGGCGTGGGGGTGGGTGTGGAGTGTGGCTGTGGCTGTGAGGGTGTGGATCTGTGTGGGTGTGAGGCGTGAGTGTAAATGAAGGGAAGACACCCACACCCTCACACTTCAACGTAATACAAAAGAAATCGAACGCTTTAGTTTTATCAGTGAAATTTTAGTAGACTCAAGTCGAGCATTGACAGCATCGCGCTAAATGAAAAACCAAAAGAAACTATGTCGAGACGTTTTATAGAGAGATTATTTTAGTTGTTGGTCATACATGCTTAAGAAAATCTTTTTCCAGTCAACTTACAGATAGATGGTCTGCGTTACACTATAGAAAAAGGAAACCTATAAAGTAGCTTCGACAAGAATAAATATATTGGCGTGCACTTTTGGTTTCATTCTTTTTCGAACGGACAGAACAGAAGAAAAATAACTACTAAATCGACTCAATAATTGCAATGCCATTTTGCAATAACATGTGTTAGAAACTAGCTAAATAGTGAGTATAGTTCGTATTTTACATTATCAAAATAAAACACCAGTCAAAATATGTTGCCACCTACGTTTGAAACACTACCTGATGAAATTCTAATGATTATTATACGATATTCTGGTGATATTTATACAATATTTCGAACATTTTCTGGCTTAAATCAACGTATAAATAATATTCTTGTCGATCAACGTATGCATTTACTCACTGATTTTCTCTTTATGGATACCAGTGATGTAAATATTGATTATTATTATAAATCAAAAATATTTCATGATATATCTCAACAATTATTATCTTTGACAATAACAGAAAACGATCAACAACTTCGTCAATGTCTTCAATCATTAGTTGTTTTTCATATCAAATATAAATATAAACAATCAGCTGATCAGTTAAAATCAAGTATAAAACAATTTCAATCTATACGTATGAAACTTACTGATGATGATGCCAACAATTTCGATATGGAATTAGCAAAAACATTCAAGGGTTTTAAAAGATATTCAAAGTCTATGAAAAATATCAAACGAATTGAATCATTAGTTGTCACCAAAGGTGCTAAACTTACATGTTCTGACAATGAATATGTTGACTTTAATTTTGCTGAAGCCGTAAACCTTTTATTACTAGACAATATCGCCACTGTTCGACCTATATCTCAGAGATTTCTTAATTCTATTATTCAAATGTTTAAAGTACTCGTAATTTCGAATTTGAATCTTCTACATAATCGAGCTTATGTTGTCAATGGTGGTTGTGTAATCTATTTCTTTCTATTCTATTTAATTTATCGATGTCGTGCCTGGAATTGTAAAACATCATGTCCCTCTTTTAATATTCAATATTATGAAGCTACAGTAGATTTACTTCTTTTTGCTTTACAATGTCTAAATTATGAATGCGTCGGAGAGTTTTGGTGGATTGATAGTTTTGTGGATTTATTAAAGTTTATCAGTCCAATTCAACTTAATATTGATCAGGAAATATTTGTTTATACAAGTCAAATTGAAATATTAAAAATTGTACTTGATGAAAATATTCTAAATGTGGCAATGCCATCAGATGAACTATTGCCTTATAATTTTATAAAATCTCTAGGGAATATAATTATATGCAATCGACTCGATATAATTCTTTTCATTTTTCATTACAACGAACATGTACGAAATCTTTTTCAATCATGTTGGAATAGTCGAAAATTTCTTGGGATATTGACTGGAAATCAAAAGCGAAGAAAATTCTTTTATGACTTGTTAGATGACAAATCAATAAGAACATGGTTAACAACACATACAAATCTATTGTTTATTCTATTGGAAAAAAAAGAATGTAAAGTTGTGAAACAATTATTAAATCTATCACCATCACTTATTCATCGATTAGATGAAGATGGCAACGATCCATTACTTTATGTTTGTCTTAAAGTACGTGGATGTCGACATAGATTAATCGAATATTTAATCAAAATGGGATCTGATTTACACAGAAGAAATTCGAAAGATGAAAATGTTTTCGATGTATTACAGTTGAAAAGAAATAGAAATTTGTTGAAAAGTTAATTGAACACGAAATAATTCAAATCGATATCGAATCTAGAGAAGTACAAGTTAATTTAGTTAAACTGTCGCAATGATAACAACATTTTTTTTGCATTTTTCATATTTATTAAGCAATATCTTGCCGCGTGAGAAAACTGATTAATTTTAATCAAAATAAATTTAGCAAAGTCTAGAGTTTTCTATATGCACTCCGTCTGTTTCGTTTCCTCCTATTGATGCTGGCGATAGTCAATAACAGAAAGAAAAGATTACAGGTAACTGTACTTGCTCTTGGGGACACCAAATGACTGTTTATATCAAGAATCAAAATCATAAGTGCCGTGATGCTTCGATCCATTTGATTTTTTTTTATAGACTCTTCATGGAGTTTCCAATACGGAATCAGAACATACTTTACAAAGAGGACAGAGTCAGAGTATGAGGATCCGTTACCTACTCTCTTCTTCAAGATAACGTTTATATGATGAAATGGTCATTGAATTCCAGTTTAATCCAAACGTATAAGATATCAAAGTGGATTCTGTTTTGAGCTGTTTTTCAAATAGAGTCTCTCTGTTCATTCTTTAACCGCTCAGTACAATTGTTACATGCTTCTGTAGTCTACAGATTGCACTTCAATAATATACCAACCCGATCTCAATAGATCTTATTTTGCTCCAGATCAGTCCATCCTACAATAGTGATTTTTTGCAAAATCCGAATATTGACTACTCTATTCTGGCTGAAGACAGTACTTTTGGAAACTGGAATTTTTACTAGAGTACATAACAATATCTCTATGCCACCAAAATATCAGCCCATTATCCGTTACTGATCGAAATATGAGTGAATTGCGCTCGTATTGTACGGTTGCGTTTCCAACACTAAAATGCTTATATCTCAACTTCTACTCAACCGATTTTAATAATTTTTTTTCTAAATACTCCTTGAGCTCTCTCTTACCGGAAAACTATCAAGACTTTTAGCTATCATAGCTATGGAATTTTCAAGCACGAAAAGTCAAAATGGGTGCTTTTTGGTCCTAGCTTTCGACGAAAATCACTCTTACTGTCCTACAATTTTAGATAGATAAACATAATATATTATAACCATTTTGTAGCTGAGACTTTCCTCTTTCTCATGATATAAATTGATCATAGGTTTATCTTTGATTTTCTGATAAATCTTGTAAATACCAGCTGAACATACACTTTGACTATTTTATGTCACGACAGATTATATTCGACCTCATGAAACCAATGTAAAAGCAAACGCCAATCTTTTTTTACTTATCAGTAGAGTAAAGAGCGAGAAATCGTTTGATAAAAAAATTTATTTCTAACGACCTTATGGATCAAATAAAAAACTAGAAATAGGACGATAAGGGTATTGTTTTTTTGCTAAATGTCACGACAGATTTTGGATTTTGTTTCTTTGATTTCTCGGTAATTATAAGAGCTAAGGCCACGATTTTTAAACCTTTTTTAGCTGACTATATGATAAATCTGTGGTAAAAAAATTTAGCTCTTAAGTATGCACCATTCATGAGAAAATAATTTTTTACTAGAAAAATGTCCCGACAGATTTTTTTAGATTCAAATGTCCCAACAGATTGAATTCAATCTGCTAAGTCCGGTTTAAAAGTAAACTCAGATTTTCTTTTTCTGTTCGACAGAGTGAAGCGAGAGAAATCATTTGATGTGAAAACTTTTTTCTAGGGGTCTTACGGATCAAATAAAAAACTAAAATTAAGATGGTGAGGGTCATGCTGAGGGTGTCATCCACACCTTTAAGCATTTTTTATAGGCATGTATATGTGTCGATAAAGTTCTATATACGCTCATTAGATCCTTCTTTTCACAAGCTTTCGATTGATATGTAATAATAATATATTAATTGTTATTAGATGATTTCTTTTGTCAAAATATTTCTAAAGTTATTTATTTTATTATATCACGAAATCTCGAAAAATATGCATTTTTAATAAAAAAATCGATTTTTTTCTGAAATGAAGGACCTGACAGTTGGGAAAAGATTCGATTTATACACAATCAATGTAGCTCTATTCAATGGACAATCCAGATGTTCTTTAAAGTCACTTTTATTTTTTTCGATTTTTTTCGCCCAACCGTGCAATATGAGCGCAATTCACTCATATATAAATTATTTACTTGAACATATGCTGAACAAAGTCTTAATTGTGATGGATTATTATTTGTAATTGTAAAAACAAAATTTGATGCATATGTATTATTATATTTAATTGGAACTGGTAATGCAAATGGTAAATCTTGAGGAATTTGTAAACTTGAATTACTGATAGTATTGATTGTAAAAGGACCTGATCCACCCTAAATGAAATAAACAAAGAATTAAAAACGTTTGAAAAAAAAAACAACTTTTTTTTTGTACTAACATTCGAGCTATTAGAAAAAGTGAATAATGATTGACCAATTCATACTTCTGAAACATTATTATATTCAATACTAACAGTTTCCCACTAGAAAAGAAAAGAACAAAGATTTAATTAGAAAGATAAAAATTGAGATTTTATTTCATTTCTATACTCAGCTCCATTGATTTGATAACTGTAAATACTAACAACAACACTACGAAAAGAAATCGTAATTGTACTTTCTGTATTATTATTTGACGTAACAAGACCATTATTTACAACTGTTCCAAAACCAATACGAGCATTATCAAACTAAAATATATTTAATCATTAATATTTGTTGTGCAGAAAAGAAATGTTTTTTTTTGTATTTATATACTTGAGATGTATTCATTTGTGATATCATCGTAATTGTTCATTGATAAAGATTCCCTGAATTAAGAAAATTTCCACCGACATATGTTATAGTAGGTTTTGACATTTGCATAAAAGAAGTATTATTATCAAGTAGGATGATTTCAACACTAAGATCACTTGAAGAACTTGAACTATTCGATCCTGCAATTGTTATTGTCATAATATGATTACAATAATCACCTGTATATAAAATTACATTTAATAAAGAAATTATGGTTTGATAATACTTACCAACTCGAGTTACAATTGTTGAATTATAACCACCAACTTTTATATAGTCAATAGCAACATTAGCATTAGCTGCATATGCTAATGGAATAACTTATAAAATTTTAAAAAAATGAAACATATCAAGACCTATTTCTTATCGGAAGTCATGATTTACGTTATAAATTTCGGTTTTGACGGGATTGGACAATCATCAATGTTTAATATGATTTGCCGCATTTATTATGGTTTTTACGGTTTGTTTTCTATATACCGTTTTATTAAGAAACAAGCTTGGGTACCTAGGTCAAACTTTATTTCGTGTTTTTCTGTCCTTGTCTCAAAAATTTCTCTACCATTTTACATGCTAGGAAGTTTGGGAAGGTTTTAAATTGTAGAGAACATTGAGTTCTATAACTTAATTTTTGATTTTCGACTTATTTTTTGAAAAAAATAAATGTTTTTCGGTAGGAGCATCCTGATTTTTCGAATTTTTGACAGAAAATTTCGCCAGAAGTAAAGAAACGGTATTTTGAAATATTAGACTTTGTTAAGTTGTAGCGGCAGGTCTTGGCTGCATTTAAAAGCCAACCTGAAATCTGTATCATTAGACTTGAAGAAGAAATCCTTGCCACACGGAAACTTAGTTTTTTATCCTTCATGTTATGATAGCTCTTGAACAGATCAATATTTTCGGCTGAAGTTTTGTACCATGAATTGTTAATGCCCGGGTGTGGGTGTCGGTGTGTGGGTGTGAGTGTGGATGTGGGTGCGGTTGCGAGTGTGGGTGTGGATGTGGGTCTGTCTCTTGCTTCCGCCCATACCCACACCCACACATTCACACCCACACCCACCTACACCCACCCACATCTACACCCACCCACATCTACACCCACACCACACCCTGATTTACGTTAAAAATTTCGGCTTTGACGGGATTGGATAATCATCAATGTCTAATATTCGCTAGACTGAAAGGCTAGAGTCTAGAAACCGTAATTCACCTGTGTCTATCTGTCTGTAACAAGGACTTGGCACAAATGATCATATTCATGGCACAAATGACCACGTTTGTGGCACAAATGGCCATTTCTATGGCACAAACGACCATTTTTATGGCATAAACGACCATTTTTGTGGCACAAACGGTCATTTCTATGACACAAGTGACCATTTCTATGGCATAAATGGCCATATTCATGGCACAAATGACCATTTTTTGTGGCACAAACGACCATTTTTATGGCATACGTGACCATTTATATGGCGCACATGGCCATGTGTATTGCACAAATAAGCATTTCTGTGGTAGAACTCACGAGTCTACTCGCCAAGAACTGTTTTTACTGTAAAGCATGGCGTTGTTTTCACATGCATGTATGGAACAGCAGGAACTGATGTAGAGAGTCTATTCACTTCATTGAGTCTGAGTTCTCATTGTGAAGTTTTATGGAAAGCCGCGGCGAATATGGGAAGGCGAGCGTCACTGAACCTCAAACAGTTGTCAGCAGAGTGGGAAGGTGATATTACCATATATGAAACTCATGCTGGGAAAAGAGATATCTTTAAATGTTTAAATTATCAGCACCACAGGGTGGCAGGTGGTGATACGGTAATATGAAGACAACAAAATATTTTGAAATATATTAAATGATGATACTATCGTAAACATTTGAACTTACCAATGGTATAACGTAGGGGTGGGACTTTACCTTTACCGTACTGGTAAATAGTAAATAAAATATTTACTATTTACTAAAGTAAAGTAAATAAAGTATTTACTGTTTACTAAAGTAAAGTAAATAAAATATTTACTATTTACTTTAGTAAAGTAAATAAACCATTTGTTATTTACTATTTTCTATTTATTAAAGTAAAGTAACTGAAGTATTTATTCCCTCGACTGTAGGGAGGGTCATATGAAATAGAATGCGGTTGTATGTGTCAGGGTCTAAAGAACATCAGGATCAAAAAAACATCGTCTGAAAGAATAAAAATCGAGGTCGAAGAATCCGAGTCTCAAGTGAGTTTTTCAAAATTTTCAATTGAGTTTTTAGGATCAAGAGAAGATTTTTTGGAGAAAACGATATTTTATTCTCTTTCTCGTAGAGAAGAGTCTAGCAAGAATAAATTGTTTGCTTGCTTGCTGGCTTGTGTGTCCACATTTCACTGATTGTTCCAAGAATAATGTGAAAACAAAAGGGATTATCTTCCTTAAAACTTGACCAAAGGTAATCGAGGGTGGGAGTTCAAATTTGAGGTTAGCTTGAATTAATTATTAACTAATTATTAATTGGCTATTGATTCTTGATTAATTATTAACTGATTATTAATTATTAACATTTTCTAAAACTTGACTAAAGGTAACTGGGGTGGGAATCTGCATTCGAGGTTAGTTTTTATTAATCAATTATTTACTAGTTAATAATAATCAATAATTCTCACAAAGCTTGCACAAAGGTAATTAAGGGTGGGCAATCTGAAATCGAGGTCAGTTTCTATTAATTATTTGTTAATTAGGTCTCACAAGTCAAACCTTCCACTGTTCAGAAAGCTGAACTCAAATGTCTAGATAAACTTGACAGAAAAACAGAGCGAAAATGTGCTTATTTCACTTTTTGAAATGATGCAGATAAATAATTTGTTGAGAGTTCAGAAACAGCATTTCTACGAGAAAGAGCTGAGCGAGTCGGCAGACGAGCGTTACTTGTAAAGGTTAACGAAAGTAAATCGAGGTCGGAGAATCCAAATCTGAAGTCAATTTCTCAAAAATTCAAATAGTTATTTGTATGAAAAAATCATACTTTTCTCTCTTAATTATTGTCTAAGGAAAAAGCGAATTCTTTTGAAAAAGTCATTTGAAAAAAGGGAAACTCGAAATATGGGAAATCCTTCTGGGTATTTGGAATCTGTGACTGCTTTTTAGTTTTGGTACCCTCTTCAAAGTATCGTTGTAGACGTGGGCCGAAGTGTCACCTAATGGGGCGGGTGCTTCAGTAAGCCGTAGTGTGATGAGACAGTGTTTACACATCAATGTCACTGAGTCTGCGGTGCACGACATTCAGCGATTCCTCTTTATTGACAGTGATTTCTGAGTTAAATAGCTTTTTTTGCACACCCTACTTAAGTCGAAAGAAGTAGCATAAAATGAATTTTGTAAGTGAAGTTACAGGCTGTAGGGTAAATGCAGAATAACCAATGATTATTTTAATGTATTCCAATAATGCAGCAAGTGACTTTGAGCAGTGTCTGAGAGAGATACTAGTGAAGGACTGATCGCTAATATTGCAAACGTATTCTAATGTTGTTTAACAAAAGATCTACGTGAAACCTACATTTATCAAGAATAGCCAACTAAGATGTCGTAAATCAGGAGCCGTAATAAAGCTCTAACCTATTGGCTAAAGAATGAGGTTGAAGAAATTAGGAATAAATAATAGGGAAGTGTTGGTGCGGAGCAACTCATCTGGAGCCATCGCGTTATAAATCTAATAGTTTTTCTGAGTAAAAGCAACCTGGCATTTGATAGAGTTTGAGTGAAAAGAATTATCTCACGGGCGAATAAGATCACAGGTGGCAGCTGCTGCACTGGTTTATCTCCAGATGTGCGCCTTCAAAGTGTTAGGATTCATTGAATGCACGACACTAGTCGAGGTCTAATGGGTCTGAATAAGGAAGATCAGATGTAAAAAGCTGCAAAAACTATGCCAAGTCAAGAATAAGAAACGGTTTTTGCGTTTGGACACAATATCCGAATAATTCATCAAATGGAAAACATTACTGGAAGAATTTAGGGTGTGAGTGTGAGTGCGGGCACAAAATCCCTTTACATCCACACCCATACCCAAAGCCACACCCACATTCACACTCACCCATACTCACATCTACGCGCACACCCACACTCACATCCACATTCACACCTTCTAGTTTCTCTTTTTGCAAATGACTTTTTCTCGAAAGAGTTGGCTTTTCCTTAGACAATAATTCAGAGAGAAAAGTATGATTTTTTCATACAAATAACTATGTGAGTTTTCGAAAAGCTGACTTCAGATTTGGATTCTCCGACCTCGATTTGCTTTCGTCAACCTTTACAAAATATCCTTATTTTCTCGAAAAACCCTTCCCTTGACCCAAAAAAATGAAAAAAAACTAATTGGTGGGAAGCGCCATATCAAAAACTTCTTTAAGGCGATGTTTTTTTTGAGCTTTGAGCTTTGACCCGACGACAAGTAAACAAACTATTTTTATATGACCCTCTCTTCAATTGACGGAACTTTTATTTACTAGTAAATATATTTACTTTACTTCAGTAAATAGTAAATACTTGATTTACTTTACTAAAGTAAATAGTAAATACTTTATTTACTTTACTTTAGTAAATAGTAAAT